TGCGTGCGTGCGTGCGTGCGTGCGTGCGTGCGTGCGTGCGTGCGTGCGTGCGTGCGTGTGCGTGCGTGCGTGCGTGCGTGCGTGCGTGCGTGCGTGTGTGTGTGTGTGTGTGTCTCCACCTCCTCGACGCCGACCAGCTGCCCCTCGGGCGTGTCAACGTTGTGGTGCGCCAGGATCGACGCCCAGCAGAGCACCTGCGGGGAACGGCCCGCCGTCGGAGAGGGCCGGGTGCGGCTGTGTGGCGGCCGGTCATGGGGCGGCGTAGCGAGGCGAGCAGCGTTGGGCATGTGCGAGCAGCGTGCGTGGGCATGCACGCGCGCGTGTCGGCGGTGGCGCGCGGGTGCGCGCGGACAGGCTTGGGTGCGCGCACCGCCCACAGCCCGTCCTTCTCGCGGATGTGGGACGAGCCCGTGCCAAACGACTCCTCGCCGCAGAGGAGGGGCGAGAGGTCTGCGCCGCCGAGCAGGTGCGAGTCCATTAGGTTGCCAAAGTACTTCCAGCCGGTCGGCGTCTCGAAGAGGGGCAGCCCGAGCTCCTCCGCCACGCGGTCGACGGCGCCTGCTCGCACGCCCCTCTCGCGTCAAACAGCAACCTCGCCACACGCCCCTCGCCCAGCCTCGGCCGGCCGCCCGATGTCGGCATCGAGCGGGCGAGAGCGCGCAAGCCGCCCTGCCGGGCGAGCCAAGGCAGCGCGTGCGCGTGGGCCGCAATCACCGCCAGCGAGTCGGAGGGCGTGACGAAGAAGCGGCGGCCGACAATCATGTTTCGGTCCGCGTCGCCTACGGCGTCCGAGAAGAGGCTCCAGGAGGCCCTCCCGCGCACTCTGTCACGGCCGCGCTGCAGTCGGTCGTCGCCGTCGGCCGCAGCACCGAGCACCGGAGGCTCCCCGCCCGCAGGCTGGCCGGTGAGGCCCATGAGCTTGGCGAGGGCGGCGGCGTAGGTCAGGTTGGGGTCGGGGTGGCCGCCGCCAAAGTCCTCGGACGGGATGCAGTTGAGAAGCGCCTGGGCAGTCGAGGAGGGCGTGTGGAGGGGAGGACGGCTGGTATGGCTCCGGCGAATGGGCGGGGCAGCGCCTCGTCCGCGACGCCGAGCGCGCCGAAGATCGCGCGCGCATACGGGCCGGCCACGCCGTGCATGCCGTCGAAGACCAAGCTCATGTCGGGACGGCGGAGCAGGCTGCGCAGCGCGTCGAAGTCGAAGAGAGACGCCATCAGCGCCACATAGTCCTCGGTAGGGTCGATCACCTCCACCTCAAAGTGCGGGGCGCCGCCCTTCTCGTCCACAAACACGTGCCGCCCCTCGAGCGACAGGTCCACGTCCGGCAGCCCCGCCACAATCGCGTACTCGCGGATCTGCGTTGACCGCTCGTACACCTGAGGCACGGTGCCGTGTGCCATGTGTGTGTGTGTGTGTGTGTGTGTGTGCGTGCGCGTGCGTGCGTGCGGGTGCGTGCGTGCGTGCGGGTGCGTGCGTGCGAGGCGAGCGCATACACCTCCTCCGTCAGCGACTCGAGTGCCGGCCCGCCGTTGCGCACATTGTACTTGATGCCAAAGTCTGCGTCTGGCCCGCCCGGGTTGTGCGACGCGCTGAGGATCACTCCGCCGCACGCGACGCCGCCCTCGCGCTCGCGGATCACGCACGAGGCGGCGGGCGTCGAGAGGAGCCCGTCGCGCCCGACCTACGGGCGAAGGCTCCGAGACACTTCGGGGAAGGCTCCGCCACGACGAGCGACTGTCCGCCGCGCCGGACCCAGACACGCGCGACGCCGTGCGCAGCCGCCATCTTGCAGATGATCTGCACCGCCGCCGCGTTCCCGTACCGCCCGTCGCCCGAGACGACGAGTGTGGCGCCTGATCTCGGCGACGAGGCGGTGAGAGGGCGCAGAGCCGGTGCGGCGGCGGCGAGGGCCGAGGTCGGCGGGAAGTTGCGTGGCCAACGTGGCGTGCGGTGCGGTGTAGCAGCGTGTGGTGCAGCGGTTTCGGTGCGGCGGCTATGAGCGGCATCGCGGCGTGCGGCGGCTGTGAGAGGCATCGCGAGACACACCACGTAGCTCGCCATCGGGCAGCGAGTCGAAGAGGCTCTGGATGAAGTTCTCGAGGTAGCCCGGCTGGAGGAAGACGGACGTCTTCTTGCGCAGCCCGGACGTGCCCGGCTTCTGCCCCTCGAACGGCGATGTGGCCACCCGCGTCACCTCACTGCTGACGACCGTCTCGAAGATTTGCGTCTCGCCCGCGGCGGCGCCGTGCTGCCCGCCGCGGAGTCGGCACATGTTTGAGAGGAAGGACGTCCCACCGCCTCCTCGCATAGAACCGACAGGCCTGCCGCGTGCGATGCCGAGGAGCGCGAGCAGCGGGGCTGCTCTGCAACAGCAGCGCTTCATTCCAGTCACGAAGCAGCTCGAAGTGGGAGAAGCGAGAAAAAATCGTCATTGTCGTGCGCAGGAAGAAAGAAAAAAACTGCGCCGAGCGCTGCCCCCTCGGCGCTGTTACCAATCCCAACCCACTCCTGTATGTACCGCTACAGCCCTTACGGCAGGGACAAGGCACGCAAGGGAGAGGGCTGGCACAAGCGCGGCTGGCGCGACTTTGATGGGTCGATGGCGGTGAGTGTTGCCTTCTCGCCCAAGTGCTATGGGTCGCATACATTAATGGTGCAGCCACACGAGACGGCCGATCGCCTGCTCAGGGCGGCGGTGCAGACCCAGTGCGACGACGTTGACCTGCGTGGGCGCCACGTGGTGCTCGTGCACAAGAAGCGCGAACTAGTCGGCCTGAAGACGGCGGCAGACTACAGCATCGAGAGCGCGCGGACACGCTTCACTTGAAGCTGTTCGATCGCTACGGCAATCAATTGCGCTGGGACGACTATAGCTACGTCAAGGAGTACGGAGCGGGCGACCACAACTACCACACGCTTGCCGAGGCCTTCGAGGAGGACCCCTACGCTGATGAGTCGCCGGCCGAAATGCGGTCCCTTGCGAGGTTGGCCGGCGTTAACCCCGGATTCGTGACCGACTGGTTCATGTGGGCGCGCGCAGCGGGCGGCGTCGGCGGTGACTAGCCCGGCGACCGCGGCCGCGTCGCACAGGCCGAGCGGCGAGCGGAGAATGCGGGCGCGCGAGCGGATGCGGCGGCGAGGGCGGCAGCGCAGGCTCAGGCGAGCTACGCGCAGCAGCAGCAGATGGCCCTGTCCGTGTACGGCGAGACGGTCTCGATCCGGCCCGACCACCTCCCCTCCCAGTGGCTCGACACGCGGCCGAACTCATCGCCCGAGTGGGCGCCCCTCCTCGACACCGGCAACGGCGCAGCCACGATGGTCTCGGAGTCGGTCGCGTGTGCCGCCGGGCTGCGCGCCAGCCCGCACCGCATGACCATCGCCGGCGTGAACGGCGTGGACGAGTATCCGATGGCCTACTGCCGCGTGCGGATCCGCGGCGTCGAACAGCGCGTGTGTGCCGCAATCGGCGGGGCGCAGGGCATACTGGTCGGCCGCGATGTGATCGAGCCAATGCTTGACATGGGCCACGCGATCGCGGGCTTCTCGGCCGTGCGCGGCAACAACGGGGGCGCGTACAGCATTCGCCGGCTCTGAGGTTTGCTGGCTGGTGTGGCCGCCCATGCATGCGTACGCCCCTGATGACATCGGGAGACACAAAGTCCAGTACGGGTTCTCGAGGCGGCTTCGGTGCTCCCCCCCCCCCCCACCCCACCTCTGAGTTCTGTACTCTCTTGAGATGAGAATGAGATGTCTGGAGATTCGATCTGGAGATCTCGAGCTGGACATCGCGGCCTCCCGGTCGCCGGTAGGGGCAGCACAGTCTCACACTGCTGACTCCTCTCCTGCAGAGAGGTGTGTGAGAGCTGAGAGGTGGCGGGGGGAGGCGCCATGGGAGGCGCGCACTGGGCGCGCCGCGCTGCGTATAACAAAAAGACAATGCTCGTCATGTCCCTAAATCCCATCTCGTCTCAGAGTTTGACCGTTTTATTTATGTCACTTAGTACTCACAACTGCAGGCTAGCCAGCAGACCCCCTCCGGCTACCGGCTCCGCTCTCTCCTCCGTCCTCGCCGCTGCGAGCGCCGCCTCGATCGCGGCCGCCGCCTCGGCGGGGACGGCTTCGGTGCTACCCGCCGTGTCGTGCTCCTCCGCCTCCCGCTTCGTGAGGAGAATCGCGTTGTCCACCGCCGCCGGCCGATCGGCACGCCACCGCGTCAGGACGAGCGCCGCGCGGCCGCCCAGCGAGCTCGCCGTCTTTGCGCACCTGCGGCGCGAAGCGGTGCAGCGGTGCGTGGCTCGCGGGCCGCAGAGAGGAGGTCGGATACCGCCACCCGCGGGCCACGGGCGACCCGTGCGACGCGCCAACCTGTGTG